CTTAAACGTCTCATCCGAAAGACGGTGCGCTATTGTAACTTGTATTTCAGTCCTTCAGCTGAAACACAAGGAGAGGCTATACCGAAGACCTAGAGATCTCCACAGTTCAGCGCACACACAGTGTCTACCATCATATTAGCCAACTGAGCTAAGCTGCTCTCTCAGTGTTTAATTTTTAAATTTTCATCCAACAGTTTAATACCAATAGCAAGAAGGACATACACACATGATCATACGTCTTAGTTTGAGGCTATTAGGGAAGCAATGTTTTTGGTCATGAGAAAAATTCTTGTAGCTTTGACTGAAGACCCTGGATTGGTATAGTAGAGTGGGGTTTTTACATGCTCTTTATTGAATTATAAGTCTACTGTTATAATCAATCATTTATATTTTAACCTAATATTACAGTATATACAGTGCACCCTCCAATTCGAGACCCCTCTAATTCGAGACACTTTTCCAAAGACCCAAGTAACAATCTTCATCCTTTTAACACACAGCTAGCCCTCTAATTGGAAACCAAGCCCGAGACCAACCCAAATTTTAGGTCCCGAAGGTAGTCTCAAATTGGAGGGCGAACTGTATATTAAGTTTGTTTATCATTGAATTGTATGAAAAACAGCATCAATGAGAGGATAACACTCACCTAAAACCCAAAATATAGCTGATGTACCACCTGCCAAAAAGAACAGTGGTAATGAAAGAGTTGATAGTAAGCCATACTGCTGTGCCATTGTCAGTTCATGACCTGGTGGGGTAAAAAACAGGGCAGAGTCATTAGCAGATTCTTAAAACCACATCCATTAGTAGAATATTAACATTGTACCTACCATTTCAGAAGAATCTTAACAATACTATCAGCAGAATCTCACTGCTCACAAAATCACTGCAGAGCCATCGGGAGAATCTTAACACTGCACCCAGAGCCATCGGGAGAATCTTAACACTGGTCCCAGAGCCATTAACAAAAATCTTAACACTGCTCCAAGAGTCACCATCAGAATCTTTACACTGGACCCAGAGTCATTAATAAAATCTTAACACTGCACCCAGAGCCATTAACAAAATCTGAACACTACACCAAGAGTCACCACCAAAATCTTAACACTGCACCCAGAGCCATTAACAAAATCTTAACACTACACCAAGAGTCACCACCAGAATCTCAACACTGCACCTAGAGCCATTAACAACATCTTAACAATACACCAAGAGTCACCTCCAGAATCTTAACACTGCACCCAGAGCCATTAACAACATCTTAACACTGCACCCACAGTCATCTGCAGAATATTAACACTGCACCCAGGGCCATCAGGAATAATCACAACACTGCACCCAGAGCCATCAGCAGAAACTTAATGCTGCACACAGAGTTACTGTATCAGTCGAATTTTAATGCTGTGTACACAGCTATCAATGGAATCCTAATGCTGCACACACAGTTATCAATGGAATCTTAATGCTGCACACACAGCTATCAATGGAATCTTAATGCTGCACACACAGCTATCAATGGAATCTTAATGCTGCACACACAGTTATCAATGGAATCTTAATGCTGCACACACAGCTACCAATGGAATCTTAATGCTGCACACAGTTATCAATGGAATCTTAATGCTGCACACACAGCTATCAATGGAATCCTAATGCTGCACACACAACTATCAATGGAATCTTAATGCTGCACACACAGCTATCAATGGAATCTTAATGCTGCACATACAGCTATCAATGGAATCTTAATGCTGCACACACAGCTATCAATGGAATCTTAATGCTGCACATATAGCTATCAGTGAAATCTCAACACTGAACCCAGAGCCATTAGCAGAATTTTAACACTACACCCAGGGTCATCAGGAGAATGTTAACACTGCACCAAAGTCATTATGATAGTTTAACTCTGCATATAGAGTCACCTCCAATAATTCGTTACCGTTTTCACGAAGAGACACAAACTTTTGAGAAAAACGTGTTTGAAGTGGACTACTTCACAAATCCATAAATTACACTATCAAGATAATTTAATTTTGAATATTTTTTTTACATATGTTTAAAGATAAAGCATTAAACAATCCAAATGTGTAATTTAATTTTCTTTTCTTAACTTTAATCAACCTGTTAATTAGCGTGAAAAGTTTGTATCTGTTCGTGAAAACGATCAGAATAAACACAGCATATGTTGTTTACACATAGAGTGAAGTTTGTGTCTCTTCGTTAAAACGGTACGCGCTGTACGCGCACCCGCTGTTAAGGCACAAACTTGCACAAACTGTATTTTAGCTATGTGTTAACCATTGTAGTCAAGGGCGAAAACAGGCCTACAATCCCGGCTTATCCTGCTTAAATCATTATGTTTTTACGAATAATTCCACATTTGATGCACCTGTATAGACTTATCCCAAGTTATACCGCAAGAAGGGTACCGGTATGCCTAGGTAAGCTAGGGAAATCCAATTTTTACATCTAGCCCTAGCCAGGCTAGGCATTACCTAGTGATCTCCACGATTGCAACGCCGCACACGCGTCTTTAATTAACCCAATGACAGTTTGTGTCTGTTCGTGAAAACGAAAAATCCATTTTTCTCAGTTTGTGTGCAACGGCTAATTAGCTTAATTAGCTAATTAGTGTAGTTCCACTCTTAAAAATTAGATGAAAAAAAAGTTTGATGTACATAATCAAAATGTCTTCGTGAAAACGGTGACGAATTGCAAGTACTAGTATATTTACCCATGACTTTGATCTTCTTGCCTCCAAATTTAGAGTGGACTATGTACCAAGCAGCAAATAGAATCCCAATGGCGACCACAAGCAAAGGTGTTGTCAATCTAAGAAAAAACAAAATTTTTTAAAAATGGCGATTATATTTTAAAAATAATAATTTTTAAGGTTCAAACTCAAAATGAATATTGAAATGCGCCATTAAAAAAATAGGTCCTATCAAAAAAATCTAATCTGCTTTAAAAGACGAAAATGGTTTAGGTATGTCTGGAAATGGGACAGAGGAGAAAGTTAATTGAATATTTATTTATAAGAAGTGTCAGAATTTAAAATCATTGCACCTAAAATGACACTATCATCAATGACAATCATACAATATCAAAATATAAACATAATTTGGAATGTTTGCAACTTACAAGCAATAGATAGCAAGGCCTATGAACACAAATAAATAATTACTCTGGTAGAGAGAGAGGTTGTGGGCAACACGCTTCATCAACTCTTTGCCGTCTTTTGGTTTTCCAAATTTGTTGAAATTTAGAAATTTCTGCCATGGTTGAATGGAGTCCCGTCGACTTTGAACCCACTCTCGAACACCAGCATTGGAGAGTTGAATAGACATTCTGAAAACAGAGGAATCACACATTAATGTACTGTTTCAATGACCATACTTAGAATATATTTTTAAAATGTTTTCAAATCTTACTATCACTTTAGAATTGAAATTATTCTTATAACCATTTTAGGATCATTTTAATTATAATTGTTGTAATTTTAGTGGTCGTTCACAATTATTAACATTTTCACAAGTGTACAGACAGTACTCTTCTTCGGTAACCCCTCCTTCCCTTCTAACCCCTCTAAAGTGTACAAAAAATGTTAAGTTTGCACAACCATTCTTCATTTTTTCAAATAAAGCACTTGGTGACTTATAAATGTCTATTATATCATTTTTATGCATGTGTAAATTGTACAAATTTGTCTACCCCCCCCCCCCCAGCATACTGTTTGTACACTTGTGAAAATGGTGAACATTATCTTTGACCAATTCCTATGCATTACAATTGGCTTTTGCTAAAGCTGGATGGAAGTCGGAACAATGCATCTGCAAAGTCATCATAAATCTGTATGAGTCTGTGTAACAAACGTTCACAGGATTCGTAATTTCCAAAAAAATGTGACATTGTATTGGAGCGAGCCTGCTACGGGGCCTAATTTTAGTATTTTTAGCTAAAGAAGCTATAGACATGGGCCCCTAGCTAGCTAGACAGGAGGCTAGAAAGAAGAATAGGAGTTCAATGTTTGATTTAATTTTAAGTATCTTTCTTCGTACTTATGTTCATAATAACATAGTAACTCAGACTGTAAGGCAATCGTGATTAGGAACGAAAAAACAAAAACAAAAAACAAATTATGTTTTCCTATACAATTCAATAAATATAGATGGTCCTTGCTAGAGTAAGTCTTGGCCCAGGTCACAGTGTAGTGAGGATGAATTTGCAGCCACGTCATCTCTGACGATCCGAATAACGTCAACAGGAACAGCAGGTAGACAGCAGCAACAGACAGGGCACATCGGGCTAAGTAAAGAGGCTAGCTAGGCCTAGCCTACCTAGGGCCTAGGCCACCAGTACAGTCAGTGGAACTAAACCAGAAAAATGAACATCTACTTACTTTCCAAGTGTTGGCTGGGGAATTTCTATATCACCTTCCACAACATTCGCCATTAAATGTCTGTAACGGCGTATCTAAAATTATAAAAACCTTGTCGACTAGCCTAGAGGCCCAGGCTAACTTATTGTTTGTATGTACGTAGGTCTGCGTCAATTACGCATGCGCATGTAATGCATTAAAACGCCTCGCTTTGAATAAGCGCCCCCTCGAATAAACGTCCCTCCGTTTCCCAGGTACTGTAGTATATTTTCTTCCTCGTATTAAGCCCTATCTCTCCCCCAACCC